TGTCTGTTTGAGCCACTTGCCAATTTTTAATTGGGTTGTTTGCCCTTTTGCAGTTTGTTATTTATATATTCTGTTTATTATTTATATATTCTGTTATTATTATATGTAATAGTTATTTTTATATATTCTATATATAATAAATAATAGTTATTTATATATTCTGGATGCTTGAACCTTATCCTATATGTGATTTGCAAATACTTTTTCCCATTCTGGAGAAATGCATCACTTTCTTGCACAAAAGTTTTTACTTTCATGAAGTCCTATTTTTTTCTTTAGTTGCTTATAATTTTGGTGCTATATCTAAAAACCATTATCAAACACAAGGTCATGAAGATTTGACCTATGTTTTCCTCAGAATTTTTATGTTTTAGCTCTGACATTTAGGTCTTTGATCCACTTTGAGTTAATTTTTGGTTGTATTGTAAGGTAGGGGACCAAGTTCAGACTTTTTCATGTGGATATACAATTGTCCCAACACTATTTTTTGAAGAGCCTATTTTTCCTCATCGAATGATTCTGACACCCTTGTCAAGAATCATTTGACAGTAGATGTATGGGCTTGTTTCTGAACTCTCAATTTTATTTCATTTGTCTATATGTCTGTCTTTATGCCAGTACCATACTGATTTTTTTTCATTTATTTTTATTAGTTGGAGGCTAATTACTTTATAATATTGTAGTGGTTTTTGCCATACATTGATATGAATCAGCCATGGATTTACATGTGTTCCCCATCCTGAACCCCCCTCCCACCTCCCTCCCCATCCCATCCCTCTGGCTCATCCCAGTGTACCAGCCCTGAGCACTTGTCTCATTCATCCAACCTGGACTGGAGATCTGTTTCATACTGATTTGATTACTATAGCTTTATGACAAATTTTGAAAAAATCAGAAAGTGGGGGTCCTCCAACATTGTTCCTCCTTTTCCATGTTGTTTTGATTATCGGCATGTCTTGCAATTCCATAGGAATTTTAGGGTTGGCTTTTCTGTTTCTGCAAAAATGGCTGTTGAAATTTTGATAGAGATCATACTGAGTTTATAGATTGCTTTGTGTAGTATTGTCATTCTATCAATAAATCTTTCAATCCATGAACACACATAGTTTGCATAATCAAAGAAGGAATTACTTTGATGATTAAGGTCTGTTTAAAAATGCCGATTTTAAGTAGATAAACATCAGGTAGATCTGGGTGGGCCATATTCCAGGCCTTGTGAAATCCACTATAAGACCAATTGTAAAGAAGGCAGAGAAGAAAAAGGTAATAGGTAAGAAACTTCTAATTGCATATTAATTACTTGATCATATGTAATATTTACTATGCCTGGAAAGCATCTCCAAAAGGTATATCCTGTAATGACTGAACGGTACTGATTTGGTTAGTGCTTTCATTTGCAACAACATCTCTCCAATACTAAATAAGCTTGTTCTAAAATTTTAAGTTATAACTAATATTTTAAGAAATATTAGACTTGATTATACTTACCAAAGGAACATTAATATTTTCCTCTGTGTTAAATATGGATTTAGACTTTTACTTAAAAAGGAATTAATGTGATCAAACTGATTAATTCCAGTCATCATTGTTGGGTCACACCTAGTACCAATCAGTCTCTGAAACTTTTGCTTCTGTCTTCCCTTTCATGGCACGGTTGCTAGTCAATATACTCAGTTGAATTTGGGGGCAGACCACTAGGAGTCTTCACAAAAGCTATAAAAGGTCCTTTCCTCAGGTGGCCCTGGCATTCTAGGAGCTCCGGGTCTGCATAATGGCTCATTAGAGTAACTGTGTGTGAGGATGATCCCAGGGCAAGGTACACTTATGTCCTTGTACATTTAACTTATAATTTGCACCTGGCTGTATACAACTGGCAGGAAATTACAGACACAGAAGGTCAGCATTTCCACATATTTTGGTGGGGGGTGGAATTCAACCCCTAACACCCTGTTTTAATTTGTATTGGACTGTATTAACTATTTATGTGGGATTGAAGGTTCAATGTCTTCCATTTTATAGAGCCAATTGTGTCAAAGACTTTATTTTTCATTAAATCAGAGCATATTTTAGGGTAATGGGCTATGGGGGAATTTATGCAAGGCAACAGTTCTGATGGTTACAGTGAGGCATAGTTTTTGTCCTCTATTTTTGTGTTTGGTAACTCTCTCCTAAGAGTATAATAGGTTCCTTTTTAAAATTTAGTGAAGACACCCAGGTATAACTATATTTGTTTCCTAAGCCTGGTGCTGATTAAGGCTGTGAAGCTTTGCCAATTGGTGCATATGAACAGATCCTAAAGTTAATTTAGAACCTACATTGTAGAGGTACAAAAGCCAATTATTATAATTTAATCTTTTGTTGAATAAAAATTCTTTTAGTAAATTTTAGATTTCAAATTGGTTAAAACTATGGACCTCTATTTTAATTTTTTGTCCTCCTCACCATCCAATGTTTTGTTTTTTGAATAGTTACTGGATACTTCCAGGGTCCACTCTATCCTGATCAACCCCAAATTTGGTTTAGATATCAAGCCTGATGATGCCTTACATGCATTAAAGCACTGGTAACAGGATTACTACTCACATATTGAAGCTTTCTTGAGAGAGTAGGGCAGGCTCCGTAGGCAGATCTGAAAATGGCTTGAGCGAACATGGAAAGAAAATTGACTTTGGGGCTTTATTGGGCCTAGGAGATGGAGCTGGGGTGAGGGATTTTGCTACCACTGGATGAGGCTGGCATGGTTTGAGCTTCTGGCTTGCATCAAAGGAGGGAATATGTGTCCCAAATCTTCTTTAAGATGATATGGTCCATATATACAATGGAATATTACTCAGCAATAAAAAATAATGAAATAATGCCATTTACAGCAATATGGATGGACCTAGAGATTGTCATACTGAGTGAAGTAAGTCAGAAAGAGAAAGACAAATACTGTATATTGCTTATATGCAGAATCTTAAAAAAATGATACAAATGAACTTATTTACAAAACAGAAACAGACTCACAGACTTAAAGAATGAATTTATGCTTACCAAGGGGGAAGGATAGGGTAGAGAGAGATTGGGAGTTTTGGATGGACATGTACACACTGCTATATTTAAAATAGATAACCAACAAGGACCTACTGTATAGCACAGGAAACTGTCTGATATTATGTTACAACCTAAATGGGGAAAGAATTTGAAAAAGAATTGATATGTATTTTAAAAAGTTGTAATAAGAGGGAGGAATTGGGAAATATATTCCACAATGAATGCATAATCCATGTACACAAAATGCTAAATAATAACTAATAAAAAATAGACACATAAAAAAGGAGGGAATACTCAGTTACTCTTATCAGCTTGCCCACACATGTAGGAAGAAGGGGAAGGGGTAGTAGCAGGGCTTGAAATCTGTCAGCAAACATTAACACTGAAGTGATATCCTTTACTATCAACATTTTCTTGACAAACTCTGGGATGGGAGCAATTATGATCTTCACTTTACAGATGAAGAAATGTGGCTTAAATTGAATCCTCAATGTGAAGGGATTTGAACACACATTTATTTTATGTCAATCAGTGCTTGTGTCTTTGATATAAGGTAAAGTAGGGGAGCATTTGCACTAACAAGTTGATTTCCAAAGCAAGTGAGCAGAGTGTTATTATGTCTGGATTCCTGTAAATGAATGAAAAATGTTGTACTAATTATTTACAGTATACAATTACCCTTTAAATTTCAGGATGTTACTGCTAGTATATGAATCCTTATTCCATTTGGACACAAAGCTCACCTTTACATCAGTGCCTTGTACTACATTAATGAAAATGTCCTGGTCTGAAAGCACACGTCCCTCTCTGCCACCAGCAACACTGTAGACATAGACCATAGTTGGTGTGTCTGTAGGCTATGGAACTTCATGGTCTTGTGCCTGACTTGGGGCAATGACTCCTTAATCAGGGACTAATGAGCACTGTTAGTAGCACCAGCAGCAGTGCTTCTGGCCTAGATGCCCAGACTGGCTCGCATCTGGGTCACACACAGACCTCGGGATCCCCAGCCCCAGTGAGAACTGGAATTGAGCTCACGCATGGCTGCAAGAGTAGTTGTCCTAGCTCTCTGGGACTATGGCCCATGCCAAGTTATTCCAGCAATGCTTCTCAAAGATGCTAGCAGAACTTTCAGGGATACAAATGGAATGTTCTCTCTTGCGAGAATACAAGTAATTGCATGACCAAGGACTTGACCATCAGCATGACGTTGATTCCAGCTTGAGACTCAGAAGCCCTGCCCCTTCTGATGCTGTGAAGAGCATGAACTTTGCCTTACGCCAAGACCTTGTCTTTGGAAATGCGATGAAGAGGAGGAGAACAGTGTTACTGGGGAGGTGAACTTTGAAGGGACTCAATATACAGTATATCCAACTAAGGCTGCATCAAATCATTGTGGCTAAGATGACCACAATGATGAATGCTAAGGTCATCCGAGCACTCCCTGTGTGCTAGACACTGTTCTGAGCACTTCAGTAGTATCATCTCATTCAATCCTCACAACTCTAAAGGAAGGAAGTGTTGTTGTCCCCTTTACAGAGGGGGAACCTATGGATCAGAGAGTTTAAAGGACCTGTCCAAGGTCCCACAGAACTGGCAATGGAAATTAAACAGCCCGCTTCCTGAGCTTGTACTCTTAAACACTACTATGTGCAGCAACATTTTCCTAATGTGGGCAAATGGTAGTCACATAACTTTTACCCAGCAGGGCTGGAGTTCATCAAGCCAATTCATTTTGTGATGGCAGCTAAAGATGCTACATTAGCTAAATGTATCTGAATGTTTTACCATGGAGGTTATTCTGAGAGGCCACATTTTTCACAGGAGTAACCATTGGTCTGGAAGGGAGAGCAAAAAAGGGGAAGAAATGACTTTTTCCCTTCTCCCACTACCTTTCTCTAAGTCCCAGGACCTGATTGGTTAGGCACCAAGAGGAGTCATGATGACTCACAATGGCTCAGAACACTCTGGTCATGTGCAGTGGTAAGATCTGACCATGGCTGCCACCGCCTGAATTACTCCGTGTTCAAGCATGAACACACTGAATTAGAGGTGCTGGAAGACAGGGCAGACTATCACCTATGTTTGGGTACCATCTGTGTATCTGTTCCCTGGACATTCAGTTTTCTTGTCTTAGGCTCTTTCTTTTTATTTATCTATTTTTGGTAGCTCTCTCTTAAAAAAAACATTATTTATGTGGTTGTGTCCGGTCTTAGTTAAAGTAGGCGGGCTCTTCATTGCAGCGCACGGGCTTCTCTAGTTGTGGTGGGTGGGCTTCTGCCGGGGTCCAGCCTCGGCAGGATCCAAGGGGTACCCTCAGGATGAACAGCGTCGGCGAGAGAGAGAGAAGACATGTGAGACCAGCCTTGATAGGGCCAAGTCTGTGTTTTACTTTTTGACAACCGGTTTTATACCCTTTCACAGAACGTTTTCAAGGTACAAGATGCTTACTCGTGATTACACAGGATTAGCATTACATCATTTTGATTTTTAGGAAAAGCAGGATTTTTTTGCTTTCTAATTCTATAGTAATTCTTAGCACATGATCTTCTGGCCTTGGGGCTATTAACATTTTATGCAGGTCAGGTGATTGTAAACCTATTTTCCATTTTTATGGTGACCTTAACTGAAAGGTAACAGTCTCATAGGGCAATAGTACAGAGTAGAATTATATTCTTGTTAATACAAAAATTAATCTTTCTGCAAAAGTTGTCAGTTGCGTTTATCTAAGAAGTTTACCCCATACAGACTCTGCGGCTTCAGTGAGGCAGCTTTTGCCTAGCACTCCTGACTGACAATTAACAACCATCTCATTGTTACCACACTAGGGCTAAGTTCTTATTTCTCTAGATCTTTAACTATATTAACAATGGTTTTTATAACACAACCTTAGCACATTAAAGGCAAGAATACAGCAAGCAAAACACAGCAAACAAATCACAACCCAATAACCACCTATAGGATAATTTTCTTATGTTTTCTAATAGGACTCCTTTACCCCTTAAAAGAGCTCTCTATCTATTAGGGCTTTTATATAATCAGGTTCTTTATGCTATTTTATGATTAGGATATTATAAGCAATCATGCATATTAGTACCAAGCGCATAAATGCATTTGGCTAACAAACTACCAGCAAAGGAGTTTAAATTAAAACACTCCTTTCACCCTGAATAATCTCAAAAAATACCACCACCTGGGAAACTTATTGATTAAAGTTCTAAATTGATTCTTATTTGGGAAGAGATTGGGGAAGGCCTTCCTGTCTGTGTCAGAGAAATTAGGGAGTAGTCCATTGAGGCAGGCATCAGAAAGACAGATATCATCTTTAAGGTGAGAGCCGGGGGCAGCTTTTCGAAATCCCCGAAAACCTGATCTGCCTTGCCCGTCAGGTTTTCTCCCTTACGGCCTTGTTAGGGGTAGGGTCTCGTGAGCTGACTTTTTCAAAACCCCTGAAAACCTGATTCGCCTTGCCCATCAGGTTTTCTCCCCTATGGCCTTTTTAGGGGTAGGGTCTCGTGTGTTGGCTCCCGGCAGGCTTCTCTCTAGTTGTGGCCTGTGGGTTCCAGAGTGTGTTTGCTCAGTAGTTGTGGCATGTGGGTTTAGTTACCCTGCAGTATGTGGGATCTTAGTTCCATGACTAGGGATCAAATCCCTGTCCCCTACATTGGAAGGCAGATTTTTAACCACTGGATGACCAGAGAAGTCCTGGCTCTTCCTGGACTTGAGCAAAATCTCTCTGTTAAAACTTCTCCCATGGGAGGAAATACAAAAAGTGTCCTAACTATGTTCATTGCATTTCAACAGGTCTGCTGAGTAATGTCAGTGATTGTGGTCTCAAGATCCAATCATCCAGTGAAAGCTTCAAGGTAATTCAATTCAAGGTAGGATTCTCTATACTTCCTTGATCTCATTGCCAGCCTTGGCAGTGAGTCTCAAATTACTGCTTTTTGTTAAATACCAATTCACATAAATGGGGTGTTAAATTGTAGAAAATATAGTTGTGAGTGGTCAGACTTCTCATGCCATATTACCCTGTGAGTCTCTGATATAGAACAGCTAGATAGTTAATGTTAAAAGTGTGTGACCCATGTGGATATTGTCTTGAAGTAGGACATAGACTTTTATAGGATGTTTTTATTAACAGTGAAGACCGGGCTTTGTGTTTTTTACAGTGCTACTGTTTAAGAACTAAAATGACTATTATGAGGAAATGTGACTTGGCCCTACACTGGCTGCCCTGCTCAGTCTCACATGACAACTGGGGAGACCGAGATATGGATGCCTGGACAACGGACCCAGGCCATGTGCCCCCTTCCTTGAGTGGCAGGGAAGGCTCAGCCATCCGGGTTTCCTCTCACCCATGTAGGACCATGTAAAGGCACTAGGATGCTGTTTTCAATGTTCAGAACAAATAGAGGGATGGGAATTGTTTCCTTGTCTTCCACAAGGATCAAGAGGAGACAAACTGAAGGGGTAGAAGGCTGGGGCCCTTTTGCCAAACAAATTGGGTTCACTTCCTGGTTCTGCCACATACCAGCTGTATGACCTTGGGCCAATTACATGTTTTTTCTGTACCTCAGTGCCCTCTTCTGGGTAAGTGGGCATGACAATGGACCCACCAAAACTGTTATGACATTACATGAGCCAGAGTATGTTAAGCCCTTTGGAGAAGTGCCTGGCAGACAGACACCCTGAGCAGAGGTCTGCTGTTGCTGCCACTGTTCTTATCAGGAATGTATTCCTCATAAAATGGAAGCCTGAGACTGGAGAATGCATATCATCATCTTCTCTTTCTCTCCTGAATGAGACCCTCTTAAAGCCACAGACTGGTAGAGAGTCTTCCCTGGCAAAGTCTGTGCCCTTGCTTTGAACTCTAGTTACAGGCTGGTTCACTGTTTGTTTGTTTGGGGGTTTTGATGATATCTTTCTTCTGAGCCCCAGTGCTCTTTTCTTGGAGAAAACAGGCTGAATCTGCGTCAACCTGCCTTGATGTTTGCACCTCTCTGTGTCTCAAATTTATGCTTCTAGGAAGCTTTCTTTATTTAAATAATTTTATAGAATTGACTCACATTTTTAGATTCTTGTTGTAGAAAATACAAGAATTACATCTACAGAGATCAACTAGTAATCCATCTTTCCACCCCTTTTCTTTATTCCCCCATCTTACACTCCTACCCCAGAAGAACTGCCATTTGCTTGCTGTAAACATTTCAGATTTTATTCTTTGCATTTATTTTTATCAAAATAGATGACTCTGAAGAAAGACAAATGTGATACTAAGACACATATTGTTTTTCAAGTTTCTTTCTTCAACTATCATTTCTTGGATATTCTTTCCAGGTCAGTACATAGAGGACCCCTACACCATTTTCAATAGCTGCATTTTATATCATATTATTGATATACTATAATTTATTTACATAAGGAAATTAGAAAAATTGCCTTTGTCTTAAGTGGGTGTCTCTTTGGAATAACAAGTCATTAACCCATATATTTTATAAAAACTATTGGATATAAGTTAAATACATAAAAGAAGATATTATGTGCTCTAACAATAAAATATGAAATAGCAGAAATGATGTGTCAGTTTCACACTGACTACAAAACACACATGAATATAATTTTTAAAACTAGAGAGAAATGTGCTTGAAGCTTTTTGTTTTCTGTTTTAAGACTAAAAATACCATTTCTTGCATGACAGGAAAATTAATTACTGCCATCCTATCAGTTTGTCCCAAAATACATATTTGAATTCAGTGCAAGCACAGTCATGAACCTCAACAGGATTTTGCCATGAAATGAACATATTATTCAATCAAATAAAAAAAATCTATGTGAAAACTTCCCAGGTGGCTCAGTGATAAGGAATCCTCTTGCGCATTTGATCCCTGAGTCAGGAAGATCCCCTGGAGGAGGAAATGGCAACCCACCCAAGTATTCTTGCCTGGAGAATCCCATGGACAGAGGAGCTTGGCAGGCTACAGTCCATGGGGTCACAAAGAGTTGACATAACTGAGCAACTAAACAACATGTGGAAACAGCCATGATTGTGAGCTGTTTCAAGGTGTGAAGATCTACACTATAGATTTAGCAATTAAAACAAGAATCAAAAATATGTCAACGGAACAGAGAGTCTCAATACAGACCCATGTATATGACAGAATGAAGGAAATGATAAGGTTGACATTTCAAATTATACTATGCCCCAAAGCAATATCTTATGACCACTTCCTGAAAGCAAGTGTGTGTAGCAGGGAGGTGGCAGGGGTGTGGGGCAAGAAGTCCCTAGGTTCACTGGATTAAGTGGATTTCCTCATCTTTTTCAGGCCCTCTCAGCTGTGCTCTCTTCTGAAAGCTGTCTATGGAATCAACCAGTCATGGATAAAGGAACCTCTAAAGTCAGTCCTAACACGCCCATACCAATCATCAGAAGGCTGGCAGATAAATACCTAAAACCCACACTGACTTCCAAAAACACAGTGAATTTTTTACTTGGTAGGCAACTGGGGAGGCACAGAAATGATCTGGATTTGTCCAAATGGCTGTGGATGCTGACACGAGCTGCACCAGGGTGGAGTTGGCCATTGCCAAAAAGTCATATAACCTACCTGCTTATGCCTGTCCATAATCTTGGAAAATGCAAAAAAAAAAAGTAAAATAACAAAATCCTCCCTTGTTTCACTGGTTAAAATAAAAGATGCCTGTCAGTCCTTCTAGTTTGATATGTTTTTATGTTGATATAATTTTCCTGGGTTACACTGGAGAGGAAATTCTATTCATTCTAACAGTCTTTGCAGGGGCTCTCAGACACAATGGAGATGGTGAGATCACACTTCATATCAGACTTCTTTCAGCTTTAATCTGAAAAAAACAATCAAGGCAATAGTTGGGTAGTCCTAGGTCACTCAAGGACCCAAGACTCCTGTCCCCTAGGAAAGACATTCACTGCCATTCACTGCCAAGGAAGTGCACTGCTTCTCTGCTGGGCCTGAAACTGCCCTCCCCACTCCCCCAAGAGACACTCTGCTGCTAGGAGGCACCAGCAAAGGGAATCAGGCCACAAAGAGCCCAGGCCCAGGAAATACTCCCCATCCCTACTGGTCCCTGCCTTTTGCCTCCAGAAGCTCCCCACACAGCAAGCATTCCTGTGTCTGGGGGCAGCAGGGGGAATCCTTTCCCTCACCTAGAATCCCAAGGTGGGCTGGCCTGGGGAAACTCCTTCCATTTCCCCAGGAACTCAAGGAAGCCCCAGTAGCCTGCAATAAACCAAGCAAGGCAAAGGCCCCACAAAGGCTCTGAAAATCACCCTGTCTTCACAACCGCAGCCCACAGCAGGAGGCCAGGGCCTGCTCTCCAAACCCAAACAGGGAGACTGCCTGCTACACTATCAAGCTTCCACAGAACCCACTGTCTCCTAACATGACGCCAAAAGTCCAGGACACAATGGAAAACTACCCTTCATACAAAGAAGCAGGAGATTCACAACTTGAATGACAAAAGACAACCAAGTGACACTAACTACAAAATGAATTAGGTATCAGAATTATCTGACTGTGATTTTAAAGCAACAACCATAAAAAGAATTTAACAAACAATTAAATGTTCATACCAGCTTGTTTGGGGCTTCCCAGGTGGTGCTAGTGGTAAAGAACCCATCTGTCCACAGATGTATAGAACAGACTTTTGGCCTCTATTGGGAGAAGGCGAGGGTGGGATGATCTGAGAGAACAGCATCGAAACAGGTATATTATCAAGTGTGAAACAGATTGCCAGTCCAGGTTCGATGCATGAGACAAGTGCTCGGGGCTGGTATACTGGGATGACCCAGAGGGATGGGATAGGGAGGGAGGTGGGAGGGGGGGGTTAGCATGGGGAACACATGTAAATCCATGGCTGATTCATGTCAATGTATGGCAAAAACCACTACAATACTGTAAAGTAATTAGCCTCCAACTAATAAAAATAAATGGAAAAAAAAAAAGAACCCGTCTGCCAATGCAGGAGGCATAAAAGACGAGGGTTTGATCCCTGGGTGGCGAAGATCCCCTGGAGGAGGGCATGGCAACCCACTCCACTATTCTGGCCTGGAGAATCCCCATGGACAGAGGAGCTTGGTGGGCTACAGTCCACGAGACCACAAAGAGTCAGACGTGACTGAGCGATTTTCACTTCACACCACTAGGGAAATGAGGGAAAGGGGAAAGAGACATCTCTATTTCTTTCAACTGCCTGTCAATCTACAGTAACATAAAAATGAAAAGTTTAATTTAAAAGAGGGACTCTAAGACATGCTCCTCCCTTCCAGAAAGACCCCAAACCACCATTTCTGAGGTCTTTCATTCCACACTCACTCCACCTTGACTTCAGACTTCAGAAACTCTCTTGTTAGCAGTCATGCTCCATCCTGCCCATCAGGGAGGCCATTCCACAGACTGCTGACCTTAATACAACAGCTAACAACTTCGTTTGTTTGTTTGGGGGTGGGGGGGACAGGGTCTTGCGATTTTGCCCAGGCTGGAGGGCAGTGGCTACTCATAGGCACAATGTGGTACTGATCAGCAGGGCAATTTTGACCTGCCTCATTTCAGACCCGAGCGGCTTCACCCCTCCATAGGCCACCTGGTGGTCCCCTGCTGCTGGGATGTTCCCTTGTGGACGATCACAGAGTGCCCTGGATCCCAGAAGTCCTGAGCTCAAGAGGATCTCCTGTGTCAGCCTCAGGAGCAGCAGGATGTGCCATAAGCAGAAATCACACCAGGCCTGCTCAGTTTTAAGCATCGACTATGTGATCCAAATGTACACGCTGGTCTCCCTTAAATCCTCAAAATCCCAGATGGCATTTTACCAAAAGGGAATTGAGGCCCAAAGAGGAAAGTGATTTGCCCCAAGTCACGTTGCCACTGAGCAGCAGGCAGAGCCAGGATCCAAATCCCTCTGATCCAACATGACACTGACTATTTGCAGCAGTGACCTGCCTCCCTGTGGAAACAGGCACTCTACACCGTTCCTCTGTGTGCTTGGGTTGGGGGTGGAATCTGTAGGGTGAAAGTCCCAGACTAAACTACAAAGTCACTTGCCCATGTCATTCTACTCAGGAGACTCTTGAGGGGAAGTAAGACATTGTGATGTTCCAGTCGGGGCCACCAAAGCCCACATCAAACACCTCTCTCTCAGTCACCTCTTCCCTCATTCTCGAAAGTTCTGTCTGTATGCATTTTAAAAGAGTCACAGCTTCTTGGTAAGTTTATTGGATGGTGCAGAAGCTGCATGTGCACCCTGCTGTGGGTCTCCTAGGACAGGATGGTCAGGAACTGCTCCATCACCAGAAGCTTCAGGACTTGCTCCATGCGCTTCTCCAGCCAAAGGCACACATCCATGGCAAAGCTCAAGGAGTCGCCTGAGTGATTCTGGGGACCAGCAGCAGAATCCATAGAAGTGCAGATGAGAGGCCCTGGAGCTGGGCCTCCTTTGGCTCTAGCCACAGAAACTACTCTGGTTTCACAATGAGGACCACTTTTTGTTCTTGGGAGTTGGGGTCAAACGCAGACCATCTTGCCCGGGAAACCATCCAAAATAGCTGGTGAAGGCACCTGGCGCCCCATGCAACAATACACAAAATCTGCAGGAGTCAGAGTGTTCCTGATGCCAAGTCCCAGTCCATGAGCCCAACTCCAGCTCAGATAGAGCTGTTTCAAGCGCTTTGGCCTCTGTGGGTTCGGGATGGTGGGGTACCTGCCTCCAGCCTAGCTCCCACCAGCGCCTCTGGGAGGCACAGTTGCTAGCAGCTCTTTTCTGTCTGTCTTGGACCAACACCAAAGTTTGGCGTCCAAAGACATACACACACACACACACACACACACACATCCCTAGCTCAGGTCAGATGTGAGGACACACATACAAACTAGCTCGGGTCAAATGTGAGGACTACATCTTCCGGATGACATCATTGGCTCTGGCCTGGCCAAAATTCACCGCTTACCTCCCAGAAGTGAAAATTTGACTCCGGGGGCGGGAACGGCGAAAGACCAATTGGAAGACAAGAGGCGGGGCCATGTTGGCGACTTAAAGATCCAAGAGCTCTCTGGTGGCGGCCGAAATCAGAGAGGGGTATCAGTCCTGACTATTCATTGGAAAGACTGATGCTGAAGCTGAAACTCCAATACTCTGGCCACCTGATGCGAAGAACTGACTCATTTGAAAAGATCCCAATGCTGGGAAAGATTGAAGGCGGGAGGAGAAGGGAACGTCAGAGGATGAGATGGTTGGATGGCATCACCGACTCAACGCACATGAGTTTGAGTAAACTCTGGGAGTTGGTGATGGACAGGGAGGCCTGGCGTGCTGCGGTCGTCGCAAAGATTCGGACAAGACTAAGCGTCGGAACTGAACTGAACTGAGCTTCCTCAAATCCTAGTTCTTTAAGAGGAAAATACAAAGATAGCTCAAGGGCACTATGATGCGGAAGGGAAAGATCAGGGTCATTATCCCCAGGAAAGCTTATTAAAATGCGAATCCTCCAGCTCACGCGAGATCCAGTGCGTACGGGTGTCGGGGGCGAGATCCAGTGCGTACGGGTGTCGGGGGAGAGCCCAGAAAGCTGAATTTTTAACAGGTCCTCACAAGAAATTCTTCCTAAAAAGAGGTTTGAGAAGCATTGATCCAGTCATAACGGATTTCAGGAAGTCCCCAGCCGCTCTAGTTACTCTAGGGCTGATGGGAGAGAAGCCACCGCTAGGGTCTAGAACAGCGGCAAGCCCCACCCAATCCCCGGGAATGTACAGGCGTTTAAGACCGGAAATGGGATCGCTTCCAAAGCGGCCTCAGGGCCGAGGGAGGCCAAGGAAAATCCCAGCCTCTCCCGCGTCAGCATCCTTAGAGACTGAGATCGCTGGGCGAGTGGCGTGGAGCCTGCCGGGAGTTGTAGTCCGGAGCGCGACCGCGCGCCTGCGCCCTGGGCAGCTGCACCCGGTGAGCCTGGGAGAGCCGCGGGCGCTGAGGCGGTGAGTCCCGAAGCGGCCAGAGGGCGTGGCCGTCCCTGGGGCGCGGGCGCGGGCGCGGGGAGCCGGGCTCCCATCTCGTTCGGGCTGAGCTAACCCGCCGCCTCCAGTAACGATCGGGCGGCGGGCGCGGGAAGGAGCGACAGGCAGAGGGCCCAAGTCCGGCCCGGGTCCCTGCCGCCGTCCCCTGCGACCCACCGGGCCTTCCCGGGCTTCTCCGGGGCGGGGAGCGCAACATCCTCTCCGGGGAGCGCGCTGGGGCCGCGCCGCACCGCGGGTACCCGATTTTCAACCCGCTTTTTGGCTTGTCCCCCGATCCTTTTCCCGAGTGCCCTCTCTTTACACCCTTATTCATCCACGGGCCCTGTGGGCCCGGGTTCACTCAGGAGGGTTTGGGGAGGAGCCATCCGCCCTGGGATGGAGTGAAGTTTTTCTCCGGAGGGGCCGACGCGGGGGAAACCCGGAGGGTCAGTTCCCTGGTCGACGTGGTGTAAGGTTTGGGACCGGCGGGGGAGGGCTGCCCAGCTGCGAGGCTGGAGCACGTTCAAGGCACGTCCCTGGGTGCCCCCGAGATATTTAGGTGTCTTGGCAGGGTGGAGGTTAAATAGAAGCTTCCTAGGAAATGACCTTTCCTGAGCGCTTCCTCTGTGCCAAGCATGCTGCTGTTCCCTGCAGTGGGCTCTGCTGAGGGAACTTCTAGGAAAGAGAGGCTA